GCCGAAGTCGGACGCTCCACCGACTGAGCCGCCCAGGCGCCCCTGGAGAGCGAGGATTTTTGTTTGCTGTGTTCATTCGTCGATTCCGTGCTTACAAAAGGACCTGGCCTGTGGCGGGCCCCTGGCTTTGTTCAGCGAATAAGTCCCAGAGTTTTGAAATCCTTTCTCTAGGGGCACAGGCGGGTCCTGACCTTGCCTACCGCAGCCTCCTTCTCTGAAATCACTTGCTCTGTAAGAGGCGGCAGGAACTAGGGAGCCCCCACGGAGAGACAGTGGGTGGCCAGCAACCCCCACACCTTGCCAGCACCTCCCCCGGAGTCCTCCTCGGGGACATCCCACCCCCAGCTCTCCGCCCGGAGCCCTGCGGGCGATTTTGATGACACTGTTAATTTTCCTCTCGGGGGAAGGCCAAGGCGAGTCAGGAAGGTCCACCCTTTCTTGCTCACACCCAAGTCCTCCCTCAGACTTCTCGTCCGCCTCCAGCTGAGGTCATCGGCCTGGCTGACACTGCGGACAGGGAAGTCCCCCTCTGAGACGCCCTGCTCTTCATCAGGGAGCCCCCGGCTCCTTCCGCCTGCGGCCAGCGGTCCGCGCCACGCTCGATCGAGCCCCTTTGCACCCCCGCTCTTCACTGTGGACTCTGTGATGCTTGGGGGAAGGTCACGTCTCCGGGTCTCCTTCTTCCCGTCTGTAAAATGGGGTGGCAGCACCTACCTTGCGTGGTCGTTGTAGGAATTGAGAGGATGTGGGTAAAAGGCCTGACCAAAGAAAGCCCTAATAAATGGTCGCTTCGCTATCCTCACCTGAAATGGCCTTCCAGGAGGCAAGCACGCTCACTGGAATCCCTGCCCCGGGCTCAGTCCCCTGCCAAGATGGTCCCTGAAGCAGGCTCCCAGAGCCCCTCCCCCTCCTGCCCCTCAGCACAATCTCTGCCAGCCGCCCCAGCCCCAGGACCTCCAGCCTTCCTTCCCACCCCTTTGCGACACCTACACAGCATTGCTGGTCGCTGCTGGGGTCGGGGTCGGCTGCATTTCTTTTCGTCATTCTCGGGATACGGAGCCAAAGGGGGTGGGAGTCCCGGAAAGGTTCCAGGGCAGGCAAAGACCTCCCAGCCTCCCTCCCTTCGTCTGAGTATTCCAGGCTGGAGCCAGAGGGGCCTTCCAGCCATCCACTGCCTTCCTCCCAAGCCCCACAGATCAAGGCGATCTTCGGGAGGTATGAAGAGGTAGCCCCGAGTCCCGGGTCCCTCTTCTAGTACTGTCACACCCAGTGGGACAATGTCCTTGGTCGCCATGCCTCAGTCTCCCTTGTCTTCCCCAGGCAGCCTTCCACCCGTGCCCTGAATCTTCAGTCTCAGGGCAGGAGTCTGGGTGGTCTCTCTGGAGATGGTTAAGATAAGGAGGTGGCACACTGGAGCATCAGCTGAGCACTCTCCGCCTGGGGCTTCCCCTCCACCAGCCTTCCCAAGATGGGGTTCTCCAGCTCCACCGTCCCTGCGTGTCAGAGTGCGCAGCCCCGGCCTCGAGGTCCCCAGCCAATCCTCCTGGTGTTGGCTCCCAGCTGGAAAGAAGCCAGAAACCGCTAGAAAGCTCTGTTTCCGGGCTGGGGTCGGTCTTCAGCTGCATGGCATGCACGGCCCCTTGGCAAGGAAGGTGGCAGCTCCCAGGACCCATCTGTGCTGCCCAGAGTTCCTGAACCCCAAGGAGTGTGGGTTCCTGTCTCCTGCTGTAGCCTCAGACGCCAGGGTCACCGGGGTCTTATAAGGCGAGGCCAGGGGAGGTGGGTCCTGGAGGGTCCGTTCCTTAAGTCTTGGCTTCAAGATGACCTGAGCCGTGGGGCACACAGGTCGTGGGAGCTGCCAAAGGGCAATGTACTGTGAGAGTCAAGGTCACCGAAGCTTTCTGCTCCCTGAGCTGGCAGGGGATGGGGACGTCCACTTCTGTTTCTACAGCTGGTGACGAGGGCAAACCTGTTTGACCCACCTCTCCCACAGTGAATACCCTGGAGAGAAATGCATTCTTGACTTTTCTCAGAACTCAAGTCTGGGCTTGACCTAGACTAGAGGCTATTCTCCCCAGCTGCAGTCTTCACCTCCTGGTAACCCCATTCCCCCTTATCTCTGAAAAATAGCTCCAGGCTCACCACCTCCAGGAAGACCTCCAGGAGCAAGCCCACCCTCTCTGCTCCTGCCTTTCCTCCACAACCTTCTGGATTACACGGGCATGGCCCAGATGGCTCATATCTGGCTTTATAATCATCTTTGTCCTTTCTTTGG